GCGGTGGATTTCTCACAAACTCCTCCACTTCTGTCACTCTCATCCTGCTGCCCGACTGCTTGTTTACCGGCATGCTGTCACGTTTTCTTCTCTCACCTCCTGCCGACGTTTATGTGGTCTAGTTCTTCTTCTTCTTCTGTATAGGGTTGGCAAACAGCAAAATGGTGTAATGTGGTCTAGTTGATGGACTTCTGAGCCTTTAGTAACGCCCACCGACCGCCAAGTTTGAAGAGACAAACTAATATGATTTCCGCTCCCTTTGAGCCAGAATAAAAGCCTTTAGTTACCACGTTTTGGTGGTGATCCATAGCTGCAGTTGTTAGTTGATGAAATGGAGAAATAAGAAATGTTTTTTTTTGTTTTTTTTTAAAAAAACCCTCAAACTGTGCTACCTTTTCCCTCATTTATATCGATGTAATAATCCATTTGAGCACACACAAGTCAATATATTAAAACCTAAATTAAATTAAAATGTAATGTTATGCAAATGTCATTAATTTATATATTAAATCACATTACATTTATGTAAATAAATACATAAAGAACAAGAAAACAGCAGAAACTTCCCTCTTCCACAAATGCTATTATTTTGAAGGAACGCCTCTTCTCTTTAATTTTGCTTGATATGAGATCATTTCAAAGCCAAACTTTATCAGCTGACCTGCTCACACACATAACAGAGACTAAGCCTCTGAGAATGTGAGTCACAAGCAGAAATTAGATATAAGCTCGTCTTCCCAGAAAAGGTGGCGTTGACCATCTGACGGTGACACAAATCTAACCCTCCTATCTAAGGTACTGTGCAACAGTCTGGAGTCACTCATCATTTGCTTTTAATTTGCTTCCAAGGAGCCAGACGTTCGTTAATTTATTTTATTTTAACTCTTTATTTCTTAATGTCATTTTTTAAAGAGTCCTCTCGAGCAGTCCTCCTCTGGGCTTTATGGTTATAAGGAGATTGTTAAAGCACAAAAAATGGCAACTTTTAATTGGTATCTTTTGACACTTTGTCTCAGGTGTCTATTCCCGATGTATTGAGTTGAATGTATGAAAAATTCCAAATATAACATAGTTTGACAATGTGACTGCTAAAGAGCTATTAGCTGGAAACTTGGCATATCTCAGTTTGGTGTCCTGTCAAAAAGCCATTCTTAAGGAAGTGAAACAGTGAGAAAGGTGTGCCAAATTACACAAGAACTAGACTGCAAACCAGAGGCAAAAGGTCTTATGAAGTGATTAAACTTGACATTTAACATTTTTGGATCAAACCGTCATCAACACGTATTGAAGAGATCAGGAGAGAGGTAAACTGTAAGACTCTACAATCATCTGTAAAACACAGAGGAGGCTCTATCATGGTTTTGGGCTGACCTGGGCCCTTTGCTCTGTGTCATCAGATTTTGATCTACCAGGTAGTACCAGCTGGGAAGCATCTGAATGGCAACAAGGTCATTTTTTCACCATGACAATGATCCCAAACACACTGCCAATGCAGTAAAAGCATACCGGGATAGAGAAACTTTAACAGTGCCAGTCATGGATTGGCCTCCCCAGAGCCTGGACCTCAACATTATTGAAGCAGTGTGGGATCATCTGGACAGATAACACAACAAAAGGCATCCAACATTCGTAGTAGAGTTTTGAATGTACTTTAAGAAACCTGCAGAACTATTCCTGAAGGCTAATTAAAGAAATTACAAGAAAGCTTGGCTAAGACAGTTCAGCCTGTGCTGAAGAATAAAGGTGATTATACAAAATGTTGTGTTTCAAGGCCCATTTTTTTTTCATATAGTATCTTATTTCCATGTATGCTGGCACATGTTTCAATAAACCACTGCGCTATTTTCCCATTTTCTTTGCAAAATATAAAGAGACAGTGGCCCAAAACCTTTGCACAATACTGTACATAACTAATACAGGTGAGAATGAGGGATGTCACAGAGCTGTTACTTATGTTGACCTCTATAAATGCACGAAGGCATGTAAAACAGCATTTGTTCTGTTTGAAATTAACCTCAGGTGGACTTTTGAACTGAGAAAGAAGCTATAAACACTTGAAGCTAGTCACATACAAGCCTTTGCTGCACACTAACACCCAGTGGCAGTCCTAGCCTGTTTGGCGCCCTGGGCGAAGGATTGTACATTAACATGAAACACACACACAGCCACCAGACAGCCATCATAATTCATCATACAACAGGACAAATCAACAATTGACAACGACTAATTAATATTAAAATCTGTAACATAATGTATTGTTTGGAGTTTAGTCTGTTAGTATTTTTACCATTTCTTCTTGGAGCAACTGTAACCTACATTATTTCCTTAGGGATTAATAAAGTATTCTGATTCTGATTGTTTCAGGATGACCTGCCATTATCCAATGACACATCTGCTTGCCTGTATCTTTTGCTCGTTTCTCCTCCTCTTCTTTTCTCTTTTTTCTAAACTGAAGACATGATGGCTTTGAACTTTTCTTGTCCATCTTCCATTGGTTTTAATTTTACACTCCAGTATGAACACCCACCCCCCAACTCAGGGATCACCACAACATAACCTAATAAACCTACAACTTAGTTCACTTTGTCTAGGGTTTATTTCGAGGATTTCGCACAATCCAGGATTCAAATCATGAATACATAATGGGCTTGGATTTACAACATTATGAATGAAATGTGGTCTGCTTGGAAGCAGCAGGGCTCTCCTCCCCTTTCGACAGGTTGTGTGTGAGACTTTAAACCATCAAACTGTAAATTATAAATTTTAAATTGTTATTGATCCCTTTACCCCGAGTCCTAAAGTGTATATTTATTTTCTTACTCTTCTTATATATATTGTTTGTTTACTTGCACTGCTGTAACTGGAGCCTCGTCGTCTCGTCTCTCTATATACTGGACTGTATGTGGCGGAGATGACAATAAAGTTTACTTTGACTTCAGCAGCGAGCAGGCGCACTCACTTCTCGCGCTCACTTTTCACGTATAGAATTACTGTGCAGCATTTTTGTTCCTCTTACAGGAATTTCTGATCACGTTGCCATGTTTTCTCATCAACAGGCCTAATGTGTGCTGTGGTGTACTTTGTGAACAAAAGGGCTTAGTATTACTTTACCTAACTTCAAACACATTCATGCTTTATTGCTGTCTGTGAGTAACAATGTGACACATTATACAGCCTATCCCTGTGAATAAACAATACTTAGGCCTGCAGTTCCTGGATTCTTTAAAGCTTTCTTCAATTTTGGATTTCTTTTTTTTTTTTTTTTTTACAGTTCACTCCATCTGCAAAACAATGTGAGCACTCTGAAGTGCTGTTTCACAACAGAACCAGCCTACTTTAATGTTTGTGGCTCAGCAGTTCACTTTTAGCCTCTGTGGTCAGGAGCCTGTTGACTCATTTGTTCTGGATGTCTCCACCAGTCTGCGCGTGCTTCCACAGAAAAAGTACGTTCAGCCTGTTTACTCCACACGTACTCAGACGAGACTTTAAACAAGCCTATCATACTCTGGAAAATAAAAGTGGTTTGACCTAGATTCCAGTTGTATTTCTCACTGAACCTTCCTTTTGTTTTAGATTGTATCTATTTATTATCTAGGTGCAGCTAAACTTTGTCTTCCCTGTGTAGGACAGGTAGAGGCATTGCCCATTCCAAGTGTGAGAAGCTTCAGTCTTATTTATTCATACTTCATTCTTATAATGGCAGATATCTAATCAGCCAATCACGTGAGCTTATAAGAAGGCAACAGTAACTCAAATGACCACTCATTACAACCAAGGTATGCAGATAAGCATCTGTGAATGCACAACATGTGGAACCTTGAAAAAGATGTGAGCTACACCAGCAGAAGACCACACCGGTGTCACTCCTGTCAGCTAAGAATAGGAAACAAAGGCAAAGTCACACAGGATCACCCAAAACAAGTGATTAGTCTCAATTTCTGCCTCGAGAAATCAAATCATGGATCCATCCTACCTTGCATTAACAGTTCAGGCCAGTGGTGGTGCTGTATTTAACAAAATGGTCAGTGAGTGAATATAAAACGTGAATTTTTACTATATTTTATAACATGTGGTGGTTCTCACATTATCTGAGAAATATCAGTATATCAATGTGCAGCAGGTACAACTCTGATCTCTGAAAACAGAAGGTATGACTTCCTCTATGAGCATTTTTTTTTTTAAATTATTGATTTTGAGTGCATAATTTTGTGGCATACAGCAAGTAATAGAAAGATTGTGGTGTAATCTTTTATATAATTTAATCATGCAGCTCATATGTCTCGCTCGTCTACTGTTGATGAGAAATAGAAACTCAATTCGAGCAAAACTACACTGGCATTATTAAATGTGGCAGGATTTACAGTCCCAGTGCAGAAACTGTTCATAATTGCCCATCATAAATGCCTTGAAGCGTATCACTTTTTACCATCAATGCTGGTATGTTTTTTTGACAGTTGGTGGTTGCAAAATAATGTCAACAAACTCAGTGCAGAGGCATTTGTTGTGCACCTATTTTATGTTCCTCTGACTCAGAGTATTAAAAAAAACTTTTCTAATACTAAATAAAAAACTAACCAAAAAAACCCAAACAGGATCGATCTACTTATTTACAAACACGAGAAGCCATAATGGCAATGGTATTAATTAAAATTAAAACTAAACTCATTCGGTACACTTTTTCAGTCATTCTGTTTTAGATTTGCTGCTGTGTTTGGGATCATTGTCCTGCCATAAGAAGCAGTTTTAGCCAACCTTGCACTCTCAGGCAGACAGGCTCACATTTAGCTCAAGGATTCTTTGGTATACAGAGGAGTGCATGGTCGACCGCAGCTGCAAAACAAGCCAAAATCATCACCCCTCCACCACTGTGCTCACAGCTGGTGTGAGGTTTGTGCTATATGCTGTGTTTGTTTGTTTTTTCCAAACAATGTGCTGTCTATTTTGGCCACACATCTCCACTTTGGCTTGTGTAACATTATTCCATAGATCCTGTGAATTGTTCAGATACATCTTTGCAAATCTAAGCTGTGCTGCCATGTTCTTTTTTTTAGAGAGACATAAGAGACTTTTTCCTGGTAGCACTTCCATACCTGTTCAGTCTTTTCTTAACTGTACTGTCATGACCTTTATTATTTAACATGCTAACTGAGGCCTGTGAAATCAGAGGTGTATATCGTGGTTTCCTTGCAGTTTCCTTTCCTTTCATTCACCTTGGGGGAAACTGGCTGGGTTGTCCACTCCTGAGAAGACTGCCAAATTTCTTGAATATTTTCCACGTGAATAATAATAATATTAACCTCCTAGGACCTGAACTCTTCCACAGCATGCATTTTTAATTTCTATTTGATGTTTGGGCATACTGGGGCCTGATGAAGTCAAAATAAAGAATTTCTAGATTTTTTTTACTGATTTTTGTTTTTAAAAAAAAAAAAGAGCCACAAATGAGGATATTCATTTAAAATTTTGATAGAACAGTAGCAGTATAATGTCCTCGTAAGTGGATATCAGGCCCTTGTAGAGCAAAATTTAGTATTTTGGTCTAAATACCCCAAAATGTGATGTCCTAGGATGATAATAATAATAATAATAATAATATTGGTAATAATAAAAATAATAATACAGTGTAATATACCATCTGTTGTTGTTAATCTGAATGTGTATTTACCTAATTTTAAAACCTGCTGATTTTTTTTAAAGTTAATCTTAGATTTTAGGAGGGCATACCTTTATTGGCATGAATAGTACAAAAATGTAGGTTGAATTCCTATTTATTGTGACCAGAGACAATTATTTATATGATTTATATCCCGTTTCTGTAACAATCCGATCCAATACCAGACATCGAAAACCAAACTACTCATTTGCTGTCCGCTAGAGGTCGCTACAGCTCCGCACTAACTGCCACTACATGAAAGCTCACGCCTCCGGTACAGAGATGTAGCAAACCGATTTCTTCAGTTCGCCATGGAAACACGGTGATTGAACCAGTAGCACTAGGAGTCATGTCACACCGTGATATGTTTTACGGATGCAGACTGGTCGCTGTGCTTCTCATTTGTCTCGGTAAGTGAAGTGAAACGTCTGCAGATCCGAGGCAGGGGTGCAGTTAGCTTACCCGCCACACAAAGCTGGACACACTGTGTCAGCAGCCGGAAGTGGCTTTGAGTTGTTCTTTGAAAGTAGTGAAATATAACGTTGTTTAACTCTGCATTAAAAATTATGAACCAAGGTCATTTTTAACCTTGTCAAATTTTAACGTAAAGTCATAATGACATTTGTTCTGTTTTTGTCTTTCTAAAGAAAGAGAGATATAGCGCATGGTTTTATTTTTAAAATCAAAAGAGGAAATGGTATTAATGCGCAGGTATCGTTATCATCCGCTGTGGTTGCTGACAGGTCTGCTGAAGCGTGGGGGGCTGCAAATGAAGCTGAATGTGTCTTAAAAAACATGCTGATACATGCTGATAATTTCTACACTTTATAATTGTTCTCTTTTATTACCAGAAAAAGTCGTTTTAGTTTAGTTGTATACAACTACCATCCAAATGTCATAGTAAAAATCAAGACCCGTCAAACTAGGCAACAGTTTTCTAATCTTCTCTTCTCTAGTTTTACTGAGCCCGTGTTTAATCGGAGCCTCAGTTTCTTGTTCTTAGCTGACAACAGTGTTACTCGGTGCGGTCTCTGCTGCTGCCGCCCATCTGCTTCAAGGTTGTGTGTTCAGAAAAGCTCTTGTGCCTACCTCGATAGTTACGTAAGTTACCGTTACCTTTCTATCAGCTCAAAGCAGTCTGGCCATTCTCCTCTGACCTCTGACATGACTTGCTGACTGGATAAACAGTTAAACAGGTGCACCTAATGAAGTGGCCATTGAGTGTAGGTACTGGTTTGATTTAAACTGAAAAATCAAAAAAAGATATTTTTTGTCTGCTCACAAATAATTGTTCAGTTGTCTTTTCTTTCCATACCAAGACGTCTTTGCTGGAGACAAACACACAGGGCCTGATCATGTAAGTGCTGCTTTTTAGTTTCTTGTTGTAAATTAATGCTTTGCCACGTGCCTCAGCAATGTGTTTTTGTCAATCTCTCTGACTGTCCACAGGCAGCAGAGCGCAGGAAACACTCTGTCGGTGAGTGAGAGGGCGATCTAACATTTTGTACAACTGTTTGGGAAATAAACAAGTTCTATAGCGCATCTTATAATAATGTGTCTAAGAGCGTACTTTGAAATATTGTAGATGAGTTTAAATTCGAACATGAAAGGATGAAAGGATTAGCGCTTCCTCTTTGTTTTCTTAACCAGTCATCAGGATACATATTCCATGCATGTCTTTTCACAGAGCTGGAGGACGTAGTGATAGTGATCCAGAGCCAGAGGAACTCCTACCATGCCCGTCGCAGTGGTCAAAGGAAAGTGGAGATTCTGCAGCAGGCAGCCCGACTTGGGCAGGTAACATCTGCCATGCTTTGTTATAATCTTCCTATTTTCCTGTACACGCTCATACATGTATTGTACAGAAGGCACGCTGAGTATAGTCTCCATAAGAAAATATCAACATTCTTCTTATGTTATAAAAATCTGCTATAATCGTTTATGTGAATTCATTTACAGTGATAATGAATAAAGGAAGTTAACCATTTGAAGTCATTTGCAATCATAAGGTGAAGTAATGAGGCGCTACAAGCAGGCTCTACTCATGACAGTGTGATGGTCAGAGTGCTCGCTTTGATTGGAACCTCTTAGAAGATTAAAAAGAAGACGACTGGACTTCTTTAAGCTTGTGAAGATGTCACTGCTCATCCAAGAGGTTTCTGCAGGTGTTAGAACTACAGAAGAAGCCTCTTGGATGAGTGTCTGAGAGAGGCAGTGAAGACAAAGGCTATCTCCCGTTACAAAAGCTCTCATCAACCATCAGCCATCTTGAGCTGGTATCAGATGTTGTGGCTTTCTTCAGTTTTTTGGGCTCTTGGCTCGTATTCTAAAGGAACTAACTTCCTGATGTTACTGAAAATCAGCAGCAGCAGCCGACTTCAGAGGGAAATGAATCTCCGTGCCATCATCCTGTATCAACCATCTTCCCAGTGCAGAATGAGATTGACAGCCAAGATGGGTTTTTTTCTTATGCTTACATTTCTCTACAAGTGATTTATTGAAACATGTGCGAGCATACATGGAGATAAGTCAAAAACAGAGATTGCATGATTCTAATGAGCTTGAAAGTCAATATTTGATACGACCATTTTTATTCTTTAACACAGCCCGATTGGTTCGGGGTCACATCTGTTCACAGGGGGGTTGATAGTGATGGTTGTGTGTCCTTGTGTCCTTGTGTGTGTGTGTGTGAGTGGTCTGTGTGTGTCTGTATATGTGTAGGTGTGTTTATGTATGGCTCAGCCTGAGTGACCCTTGGCCCCTGTGGGACATGGTTGAGGAGGGTGGCCTTGCCCCTCCCCCGGGATGTAAGTACTTTTGGTTCCAGGGTGCATGGCTTGATGTTTTGCCGTACTTGTTGGCCCACTCCTTTGGAGGTTGTTGTCCAGGGTGGCCTCTTCAGTGCAGTTGGGGGCTCTGCTGAGAGTTGGGCGGTTCTCAGGCATCTGAGGCCCTGTTTTTGTCTTTGGTGGCATGGGCTGCCTGTTGTCTCTGGGTCTCTGGGGGCCTTGCTCTTTGGCTCTAAGGGCTCCATCTGGGGCCCACTTCCTTCCTCTGCTGCTATGTGCACACAGTTGTCATCGAGATGTGGTCTCGGCTCTTCAGTACTCTGTGGGAGCAGCAGATGCCTGGGTCTCCTGGGTCTTTCTCTGTCTGATGGGGCCGTTATTACCAAAATTGTTAGTTTGTGTATCCATCCATCCAGGTGCTACTTTTTTGCAAGTTTATTCTTTCAGGTGCAGCACTTGGAGGCCCATCATGCTTTTTCACTTGTGCTCTGTCCTCTTGTCCTTTTCATTTCATCTATTTCCCCTCCCTTTTTTTCTTGCTCTTTTTCTTGTGCTTGTCAACTCTGGCAATGCTGTATTAGACATGCACTCATGTGAGTAATAGTAGAAATGAATAAAGAAAGAAAGAAAAGACTAACACAAACAAAAGGGGGCCTAAAGACTCCAGAGCTCGTCTTGGAAAAGCAAATATGTTTGGCACAACAGTTCATTTAGATCCTGATTCTGATTGCAAAAGCTGCCAGACATGAAGACAGGCTAAAAAAACTCCAGCCAAGCTTTCTTGTAATTTCTTTAAAGAGTCTACAGGTCAGGTTTGCATAATTTGGCACATCTCAGCCTTTTCTCCCTGTTTCCTTTCTTTGAAAATGGCTTCTTGGCAGCCACCCTTCCACTCAGACCATTTCTGTAGAGGCTTCAGTGAACAGTGGATGGATCAAATGTCAAAAGTTGTTTGTTATGTATAGACACAAAACTGTTACATCCCTTCACTTAGGTGCTTATATGCTTGTGTGCAGTATTGAATGACTCAACAAGAAGAAACAAACATTCCTGTGAAAATGGTCAGGTACAAGGTCTGCATTGAAAATGTGTGAAAAAGCAGCCAATGTCCAAAGAAAGAAAAGCTGGAGAACTATTACTCAAGTCAGTTTAAAAGATTACAAGAGTTTTCTCCTAATTAGATGCTTGTTTTGAAATTTGGGGGCAGGTTCTTACATACAGACTGGCGACCTGTCCAGGGTGTACCCCGCCTTTCGCCCTATGACAGCTGGGATAGGCTCCAGCGCCCCCCGCGACCCTGAAAAGGATAAGCGGAAGCGAATGGATGGATGGATGGATGGTTCTTACATAAACTTGTCTTGAAAATCTCCAGGTCAACCTCTAATTAAAAATTGCAATAGTGTATTTTATTTTATTTATTTATTTTTTTCATTTTTTGTGTCCCGTTTGGATCTTTAGCCATCAGAATTGTTGTCTTAAGGCCAAGAAAGATGCCAAGCGGATTTATTTTACCAAGTGAATCATCATGGCCTTGCCGTATTGGTCCATTTGATTGACCTTTATTATAATTATGAATTTATTTTATTTTTGGTTGCTACAAATGGGACAGATATAGTGTATTTTAACTAAAAAGGCAAACAAGGTGGAAAAAACACATTACTGCATATGGCATAAAGAGACGCCAGCATCCCAGCATGAAAACACCGTCACGTTGATGCAGTACAGCAGAGAGAGCATCATCATTTAGGGCTGCTTTGCTGTTTCTGGGCCTTGGTGATTCAGGTGGACAATTACTCCAAACAAAGTAAACCTAAACACACACACACAGACCGCATTCAACTGCAGATGCTGATGTATTGACTCCATTATGGGTGAGCTTAAGCAGTTGTGTAAAACGCAACAGTCCTCCTGAGCATCGTGCAGGTCTAATCCGCAGATAATTGAAACACAATTTGGAGGTTATTGCTGCCATAGGCGTTCATTAAATCCAATGGTTCATTTACACTTTACACCATAATTTTAAAGCTTTAATGGGTGAATTTTGTCTAATTAGAATACAATTTAATTCTCAGGGTTTTTTTGTATCGATAAGCATCACTGGTGTTAATGGACAAAACATAAAGCCACCTCCACGCTTGCTTAGTTTAAAGCTCATAAGTGAGCTACTTTAGTTTCTATGGTGGATTTTTATGGCTGATTCTTATGCCTGTTTTATGATTGCACTTTACTGTGCCAGCAGGACAGGACAGCAATCCTTTAAGTACTTTAGCTTTTAGTAGGTGTCAAAAAATGTTAAAACTGATTTATGCTTTGTTGTGGTATTAACATGGCACCAATAGATGTCCTCCTTTCCACAGAGCCTCTGAAGGAAGCCAGGCTCACTGTTTTCATGCAGTAAGCATTTAATGGTACCTGCCTGCAGGGTATCTCTCAAAAGTAATTTGTTACCAGTGAAATGAGATGACAGGTTTATGGATGTGATGGGGTGCAGTAGATGTAGATGTTTATTTTCCTTTGAGATGAATTGGTACTGTGAAATATGAGTCTGATGTTTTCTCTTTACCTGCAGTTTAAATTGAGGAAAAACTGCCTGATTGCAAGAAATGGCCAAAAATTCAAGCAGCAGGGGCTCTGTGAAAAGATTTCCAAAGCTAAATCGTAAAATCTTCACTTTCACCCTTTTTTTAAAGAGCAGGTGGTGATCGAAAACTGTAGCGAAGGCGTAAAATAGAAAAGGGCGATGAATGTTGGTGAGTTACTAATGAAATCAATGTTTAAAAAAAAACCCCAGAAAAATATGCTTTACTTTTAGTTTTTGCCTAAAAGAGTTCCAGCATTGTGATTGGCTGGAGCCATTCTATGTAACATTTAAACATGTTATCCTTTCCCTCGCTCCTGGTACTCTGGCTTCCTCCCAGGTTGATTGGTGATTCTAAATTGGCTGTAAGACATTTGGCCTTTGTGCTGCTTTAACAAGTGAATTTCCTCAGTGCGGCATTAGTAAAGTCTCTATCTCTGGCCTCCTTCACTACATCAATGAATCTTCTTTGTGGCCTTCCTCTTTTCTTACTGCTTGGCACCTCTATCTTTAATGTCTTTGTCCAGTATATATGCGCTATCCCTCAGCTGCACAGGTCCAAAATAGCTCTATCTATTCTTTGTCTCCATGTGCTGTCTACAAAAACCATCTGCCTTTTGTAGACAGTTTCGTTTCGTAGGTGGGAGAACACACAGGTCCTTAGAAAGGCTTTTCAAGCTTTGTGCATCTCTATAATGTTTCGTCTAAGGTTCAGTGAAAGTAGTTGGAAATGAGACTGTTTGACGGATATGGGTGCAGCACCATGCTTGTAGGAATCTTGTTAATCTGATGACTTTTCATGGATATAATGTCATTTCTTCACAAAAGCTGGAAGGGTGTGATTGGAACTGAAAGCTTTTGATTTGATGCTTATTGTAGCATAAAGACCTTAAAGCGGTTGCGTAATCCTTGTTTAAGGTGACTTTTCTGCTGATGTTGATTTTCACTGACGGCACGGTTTAAATGCTGACTCTGATGTCCTGCCAGCTTGTTGTTTAACTCTCTTGCAGGCTTTTTTCCTGCAGCAATTAATGGTGGTGGTCAAAATGTGACTAAAATATCATCAATAGCATCTCAGGTTTTAATTCACCAGAAAACAGCGCTTCAACTTACAAGTGAGAAAGTTCTTTACTAAAACACACAGCCCACTTGCACGTAGAGCAACATGTCTGAGTGACCTTTATAACAGTTTTGGAAAAGTGTTGTGTCCTTTTTTAGTCAAGAGTGAAATGAGGAGGTGGTTAGCGCTGTCATATGCTCTTTCAGTCTGAAGCCAGCATTGTATGATTGTACAAAATGAAGGAGAGGGGGAATCATCAAACCAAGCTTTGTAAATGGAACATCAGATAATGGCTTTATTCAATATAGCAAAGAACATCCGTGTGGTCGAACATAAATTTACAACAGAGTGAAGCATTTTATTTTGGTCATAGGTCATGTTTTGTAGCAGCCGTTCATCTTGCATAAATCAATTTGCACACTTGACATAACTTAATAGCTTGCACACCTCTCTTGCTGCCAGACAGTTAAAGGCCTTTTAGTCTCCTGGTTCTGTAACAACATATGTAACGAGGGGCTTAATCTCTGCACCAGCTTTCACTTCAGTTGATCCATACATCAGTTATTCCTCCCAATTGCTTCTTTACAACCAATTTAAATAGCTACATGGAAAAGACTTATGACTGTACGAGTCCTCCATTTTCTAGTCTCATTCTGAGCTTGTAATCGCCGAGACTATAGGCTCTATATGAAGTAGCACAAATCCCACTATACTGAAACCTGCTGCAGAGGGTGTCTGCAAGATTGTTTCCTGAACTCTTCTTTACTGAGAACTAAGTTACTGAAGTAATGATTTTAGGGAGAAAAAAAAGCATTTTTTTGTCTAAAAATTTTTTAATTATCAGAAATAAAGTGTTGATTATATGTCTGATTTTAATTGAAACCATACTAACTTTTTTTAATTTGAAAAATGGACGCAGATTAAATACTTAAGGATTTTCTACATAATGTAGTCTTGATGGCGCTCCACCAAAGCTGCAACAGATGTTAGGAGTTCAGTAAAATCAAAACCAGAACCAGTTTATGAATTTGAATAAGAAGCAGCTTCTTCTGGTTATTGAAATTGACTGACATCACATGGTAGCTCCCCCAAATTCTCTACTATGACTCTTTTGAAGCATGGAATAAAACTGGCAAATCCCATAAAGTGACTGGGATGTCCCAAACACTTTTGGAAAGCCATTTTATTGCACTCAAAATCCTGTCAAAACCTATAAATGGAACTTGCTGTTACCTCTCTTCAGGTCAAGTTGTGCCTCTTGTCATATTTCAGATGTCTGTGTTCCCAGATGGTGGAATTTGAGTTACATTTTAATGTCATGAAACATTTTGGCAGGCAGGACTCGGGAATGAGGGATAAAATAAAAGGCAGCTTTATTACTGAGCTTATGAAAACTGTGCGCAAAATGCAAAAAACTCAAAATTAGCAAGATACACACAGGATAACGAGAGGCGAGGGAACAGGTGAGAGCCCAGCTGGGACTCATTACAGATGACAAGACAGAGGAAGTAGAATTAGGCACAAGATACAAGAAGAAGAATAGACACCAGAATAAAAGAAGAAGAAACAGAACGTGGGAACAGAAACACCAGCTTGACACAAATACAGACGCAGGATGCAGAGACCAGACCGACTCAAGGACACAGCTCTGGAAACAGGAAGGGAAAACAAAAGATAAAAATAAGACTCAACCAGAGAAGAAGAACGTAGAATACAAACAGACTGCTGGAGGATATGATGATGACAAAGGAAAAATAGGAATCTTACAAACATTACAAAAGAGCCAAAGTAAGAAACAAATGAGACACAAAACAAAACCAAATCTTGAACTCAGAAAAAAACTCAAAAAATAACATTTAAGGTAAATATATCAGAGAAACATCCAAAAACGACTCCAACAGAGCTGCAGGGTAGGTCACTAGAACTTTTCCAGTAAATAAATAAAAAGTTTAAATATCCATTCTGTAACATAAGTTTGAAGTTGACATACAGTACTGATGAATCACTATGTTTTAAAGAAAAATGCTAGCTAATATAACAAAGCAATGGGCTTCAACGTATTGTTCTTGATTGATTTAAATCTGCATTCATTAAAGTTTAGGTGTTTGAAATAGAAATTTAGTCCACATTTGCATTTATTTACACCTTTGTAGTTCTGGTGTTTTGTGTGTTTGTCTGTTGTAAGACTACGGTCATCATATGTATGCGAAATATGTTATTTGATGTATTGGTACTACCCGTACTAGTAAACTATGGGACTTATGCAGAGAAACTGAAATCATCATAAATGAATCATTAAAATGCTTCTGTAGGGGTTCAGCTCAGTGTTTTTCATGTGACTGCAGGATGATTCAGCTCTTATGTGCCATGCAGGGAGTTCCAGTGATTGTTCTTCTCCATGAGCTGTCACAGTATGAAGGGGACTGGAGTATCCTCCCTGCACTTCCTCGGTGAGTGTTGAGCACTCAAATGAAGATGAGTAACTTATTAAAATTACGTTGCATGACAGTTTATTTAACCTTGATGGTTTGGCGTTGTTAAGTTGTCAATCTTCTCAGGCTCTTTGTCAAATGTGGACATTCAGCTTCCTGGTTGTTCTTCATAGAGGAGGAAACCAAAGTCACACTGTCTGCTCTGCTGGAGGTCCTCAACAGATATCCAGCTCAAGAGGTGAGATACACACACACACACACACACACACACACACACA